CACCAAAGCTCCTTGCACAGGTGACTACACAGTCCTAAAGCTGGAGCCCCACCCACTTCAGGGTAACCCTTTTCAGCACAGAACATCACACAGTTGGTGAGCGGCAGGATTGGGGTCAGATTTCAGGTCTCCTGAGACCATCCATCTATCCAGTAGCCACTTGGAATTAATGTGTGTGACTGTATTTGGGGGACCCTCAATGTACCACATTGTGGCCACAACAATGAACTCAAACTTAGCAGTGACCTTGAAGATGGTACAGGACCAAGCAACATTTCCTTCTGTCATCCAAGATGTCACCGTTAGAGTTGACTCCATGGCAACTCACAACAATAGCAGTATTTGGGAAGATGGTGTAGGAAAAGGAAAGTTCTAGACAAAGGCAGCTGAGGAGCGCCCACTCTTCTTGCAGAACACTTTCTACAAGAAAGACGGCCACACACTTGCCCAAGGCCATTGGCATTACAACGACAGAGCTGATCACTCATCTTGCAACTTGGAAGCTTTCATGTGTCCCACAGCTCTTTGTGAGCACAGCCCCCTCCCCCAGCCGCCATGCTGATTTCCTGATGTCAGCAGCACCCCAGGCTGAACCTGCCAGCAAAGGGATATTAAACACCTCACATTTCCTCATAAATCTGAGGCGAAGTAGACCAGCCCCAGGAGGGCTCTCTCTCCCTGAATAAGACAGTTTGTGTGGAAGAGAAAGCCTGGCTCCCACACTGGACTCCACAGAAGGCAGGCAGGGATTCAAGACATCATCAGGGAGGACAGAGTCTGTGGCTCATCTCAAGACCAGTCCCGGGTTCCCAGTGAGAAGGGCACAAACTCCACAAGCTGGGGTCTTGGCTGACTCTGTCAAATAGAGGAAGACCCTCCAAATAATAGTCTGTGTTGGTCCTGTAAAGCCCCGGGTTCAAACCTGCTTGTCTGAGAGGTTCATGGGACATGTGGCCATCCTATGTACTATCAGGATGGAAAGCAAGTTGTGTTTAAAGTTGTGTCCCCAGCATCTCCTGAGCTCACCCAAAGGCCCTTCAGGGTTTAGAGAATCTCCCAGTGGGATATAATCTGAACCTCGGCACTACAGAACCCTGACATGACCTCGGCAGCCCAGGTTGGGCAGGCGGCATGCCTCTGCAGTGTCCATATGGTCTATCAGTGCTGGAACCATCGGTGTCCACAGGACAACACCAGGCCCCAGCAGGCATCCATGTCTCTGGTGGTATATTCCTGGGTTTTAAGGAAAAATCAAAGTTATCATTAGAAAACAAAAAGGTAAGAACACACAGGATATTTCTCAAGCTGAAAGAACAGAAGAAAAATTCAAGCTTGAAATTGCAATACTGAAGGATTTTATGGGTGAAAAAAAAAAAAAAGATAAACAATGCAGGAAGCGTCACAAGAAGACTGAAGGAATATAAAGAGTCGCTGTATCCAAAAGAAAATGTTGATGTTAGATGTTCAACCATTTCAAGAAGTGGCATATGATCAAGAACTGAAGGGACTAACAGAAGAAGTAAAAGCTACCCTGAAGGCATTGGCAAAAAAAAACAAGGCTGCACTAATTGAAAGAATACCAAATGAGATGCTTCAACAAATGGATGTGATACTGAATCATTCACTTATGTCTGCCAAGAAACGTAGAAGACAGTTACCCGGCCAATGGAAGTGATCCATATTTGTGCCCATTCCAATGAAAGATGATCCAACAGAATGCAGAAATTATCTAGCAATATCATTTGTATCACACACATGAAAACTTTTGATGAAGATGTTTCAAAAAACCACTACAGCAATTCATCGACAAAGAATTGCCAGAAATTCAAACAGGATTCGGAAGAGGATGAGGAATGAAGAGATAGCATTGTTGCCAAGTGGATCAATACTTGATCTGAGATCAGAGAATACCAGCAAGATGCTACAAAGACGTTCAACTATGTTGTTACTATTGTTAAGTGCTGTGGAGTCAGTTCTGACTCATAGCAACCCTGTACAGGGTTTCCGAGGCTGTAAATCTTTACAGGAGCAGAAAGACTCATCTTTTTTCCGTGGAACAGCTGGGAGTTTCGAACTGTTGACCCTGAGGTTAGCAGCCTGATTCGTAACCACTATGCTACCAGAGCTCCTTATTCAACTATGTTGTTGTTGTTAAGTACCGTGGAGTTGGTTCTGACTCACAGTGACCCTGTACAGGGTTTCCAAACCTGTAAATCTTTATGGGATCAGAAAGCCTCATCTTTCTCCTGCAGAACAGCTGGTAGTTTCGAACTGCCTACCTTGAGGTTAGCAGCCCGATCCATAACCATTATGCTACCAGAGCTCCTTCTTCAGCTATGTAGATCCTAATAAATTATGAATAACATTGCCAAGTATGGGAATTCCAGAATATTTCATTGTGCTCCTACAGACCCTGTAACTAGACTAGGTGGCAATCATTTTAGTAGAACAAGGGGATACTACGTGTGTTAAAATCAGGAAGGTGTGCATCAGAGTTGTATCCTTTCATAATATTTATTCAATCTACACACTTAACAAATAATCTGAAGAGCTGGTCTATGTGAAGAAGAAGGTCACATGAGTATTGGAGGAAGACTCCTTAACAACCTGCAGTATACAGATGACAACCTTGCTTGCTGAAAATACAGGACTCAAAGCACTTGGTGCTGAAGATCAAAAACTCCAGCTTTCAGTGTGATTACACCTGAACATAAAGCAAATACAACTGGACCAATAAACCGCATCATGATAAATAAATGTTGTTGTTGTTGTTGTTGTTGTTAGGTGCCATCAAGTTGATATCGACTCATAGCGACCTTATGCACAACAGAACGAAACATTGCCGGATCCTGGGCCAACCTCACTATTGTTACCACGTTTGAGTCCATTGATGCTGCCACTTGGCCAATCCATCTCATTGGGGGTCTTCCTCTTTTTCTCTGACCCTTCTCCTTACCAAACATGATGTCCTTCTCCAGCGACTGTTTACTCCTGACAATATGTCCAAAGTATGAGAGACAAAGTTTGGCCACCCTGGCCTCCAAGGAGCACTCTGGCTGCACTTCTTCCGACACAGATCTGTTGGTTCTTTTGGCAGCCCATGGCACTTTCAATATTCTCCTCCAACACCATAACTCAAAAGCATCAATTCTTCTACAGTCTTCCTAATTCACTGTCCAGCTTTCACATGCATATGAGGTTATTGAAAATACCATGGCTCGGGTCAGGCGCACTTTAGTCCTCAAGCTGACATCTTTGCTCTTCAGCACTTTAAAAAGGTTTTGTGCAGCAGATTTGCCTAATGCAATATGTTGTTTGATTTCAGAAGTAGTTTGTCACTCCTTCCTCCTAGTCTGTCTTCATCGGGAAGCTCATCTTAAACCTGTCCACCGTGGGTGACCCTGTTAGTATTTAAAATACCAGTGGCACAGCTTCCAGAATCACAGCAACTCACAAGCCACCACAGTACAACAAACTGACAAATGAGTGGTGGTGATAAACATATAAAACATTGAAATTGTCAAGGATTTCATTTTACTTGGGTCTACAATCAACATTCATGGAAGCAGCAGTCAAAAAAAAAAAAAAAAAAATCAAACAGCATATCGTGTTGGGCAAAGAGAATATACAAGAACTCTTTAAAGGATTAAAATACACAGATGTCACTTGGAGGACTAAGGTGTGTCTGACCTAAGAAGCCATGGTATTCTCAGTCACCTCTGAGTCCTAGTGTGGTGTTGTGGGTTAATGTGCTGGACTGCAGTGTTGGTTGAACTTCAAGTCAGCTGTTCAAACTCACTAGTCGCTCCTCGGAAACTCTATACAGGGTCGCTATGGGTCGGAACCGACTTTATGGCACAACGACAACATATGCATGTGATAGCTGGTCGATGAATAAGAAGACTGGAGAAGAATTGAAGCATTTGAATTACGGTGTTGGTGAAGAATATTGGATGTACCAGAAGAACAAACAAATCTGTGTTGGAAAAGGAGCAGCCAGAATTGCTCCTTAGAAGCAATGATAGTAACACTTCTCTCACATACTCTAGACATGTTGTTGGGAGAGCTCAGTCCCTGGAGAAGGACATCATGCTTTATAAAGTCGAGGGTCAGCGAAAAAGAGGAACCCCCTTAACAAGATGGATTGACACAGTGGCAGTAACAATGGGCTCACATATAAAAACGATTGTGAGGACACTGTAGGACTGGGCAGGGTTTCCTTCTGTTGTGCATGGGGTCACTGTGACTCAGAGCCATCTATGCAGCACCTA